AGAAACATGACCAAGACCAATTTGATAAAATAAAACACTAATTTGTTTCCACCACCTAGGACTACAAGTCAAGTGAGAATGGAAAACAGTATTTTATTTTTTTGGCAACAAGCAAAATTCAGAACCTACCTGTTTTGCTTCTGTGAAGCCTCTCATATATGCCCATTTTGAGTTGTCCAACAGAATCCGAATTCTGAAAGAAACAACAAAAGACCAAACATCAATAGACCTCTGCCAGGAGCTGTAATGTTCATTGGCCCAACTGAAACCTTCATCTGAGGGTAAAACCTTTAGCTCTTCCAACGATGGAAGTGCTCTAGATGTTCTAGTTCTAGACTTCACTGTCTTGGTCATGACTGGCATAGGTCTTTTTCTCACTTGACTTGTCCCATTAACCTTCGAAGCTGAACCATTCACTGTCTTCTCTACCTTATTCGCTGACATTGTCTTTCTGTTCACCAGCTCAGTTGTTCGTACCATTTTAACAGCTCTACCATTTGCTGCTCCGTTCTTTGAGGAAGGCAAAGGCAATTCTGTCTGTCGCATTCTCACGACCAAAAACTTTGGAAACGGATTGCTCTTTGATGGATCACACGTTGTTGTCCTAATGTTCTTCGACAATTTATTAACCGAAATCGAGCCTGAAAAACTTAGACTGTCCAGTGTTCTTCTTTGAGTTACCAACTTCACATGATGACAATAACAACCTTGCATGGCCATTGTTTCTGTCGTCTGCGATAAATTGAAGTCACCTTACAAAGAAACACCACACACGTGGAAACAGTAAGGAAAGAAAAATGACACGTGCAGAATCAGTTTTTGAACTCTGCCGACAAATTCAGATTTTAATGTGTCGTACTACTAGTATTAGTACAGCACTTGTTATGAACTGTGAACTCACCATGATTTTATTTTCTTCCAAAAATCATGGTGTGTTCATCTTATAATCAGTCCAAACACATTAAATTGTTCAAAAAACAGAGAATAAAGCAGTTCATGAGCTTGGTGAACCTAGTTTTTATTAAAATATGCAAAATATTCTATTAGCAACTATTAGGTATACTGTTCTTTGACATAATACATCAGAAATATTTTTTAAATCTGTGCAGTAGAAGAGAAGAAAAAGTTTGCTAATCTTATGCATCACTGGGAGTGAAGTGAACCAATCAAGTTCAAAAAGCAAAATCAAACATATCATACTGTCAACGAAACCCAGAATTTGATATCAGTAATTTTCTCATCAATCAGTAGTCATGTTAAACACATAATAACAAAAAATATTGCATAAACTAGAATTTAATATTGCAGTAACAACAAATATTCATGTAGAATTGAAAAAAAAAATAGCTAAGCGAATTGAATCCACTGAAATCAAAATCATTGTACCTGCAACGTAGCTCTCCACTTCAGTGAATACAGGTTCTACAAACCTTAGATGTTGGTAACGTATAGCATAGTTTTTCTGAAGGAGAAAGAAAACGTATCGGTATGTATATGGCGAAAAACAGAATTAGAATGAAAGAGAGACAACGTAGGATGCAGTTGCTTGTAAGTTTCAAATGGAACAGTTTAAGTAACTGACTTCTGCTTCAGTTTCAGTGTTAAGGACAAAAACGGAAGACACAGTAGGTTTGGTACGTGTAAGACTCTACTTCCTCTTATTAACGTTGTTAGCGTCAAAACCAACGGAAAACAGAGCAGTTTTTCACCGTTTGCCCGTTAATAATCAATTGCCTAGTTCATCTCTTAGCCACAAATATCAAATAAAACATAGAACCTATTAAATATTCATGTCGTGGAATTAAAAACATTAACCTTCGATTTATGTCTCACTACTTAATATATTTATAATATATATAAATTATGACTAAATTCGTTTATACAAATATTGATAAATACAAAATAATTCTCCTCACGTAAGTAACACGTACTCAGAAAAGGTACAAAATTTTATCAATTTCCTCTCTTTCTCTTCTTTCGCTTTCTCTTGATGTTTGTTGATTATTTATTGGCTTAATGAAACAAGGTTGGTTAGACTAACAAGACAAGCAAGAACGACTCAATTCAACATAACATTGCAATTTTCATTTTCAAAGATGGTCCATCAATATAGAAAGGAACCATTTTAAACATAGTCAAGAAAAATAAATAAATTAAACTCGTAAAAATTAAAATTGCAAGTTGCTAAATTTTTAAATTTGTATTTTACTTTCAAGAGATATAATTTTTGCTCTTATATTTTCTACTCTACATCCACTAAATATATAACTAAATCATCACACACATATATACATAATATCACTTTATGAAATTAAATTTAATATAAATTTATTATGATAATATAAAAATATGTAAAAAAGAACATATTATAGAAGTCTATTAAACCACCAACAGATATTCGGTCACACATTCTAAATGTCACAAACACGACTCATAAGATATTTTAGATATTAGGAAAGGAATGAGATTTTTGTTAAAAATAACAGATAGAGGTATTTAAGTAAAACATTAAAATTGTAGGGGTGTGAAAAGAAAATAAAGTACCAAAAAAGAATTAGATGCCGTTTTACCTGCACGAGTAATGGGCTAGGTTTATACTCTTTGGTTAAGGAGGGTACGAGAAGAAAATATTAAAATATTAATAAGGGTTTTTCTTACTGCATCCCATAATTTCGACCCTGAATTATTCTCTGTTCAAACACTTGCTTAAGAGCTAGCAACCGCAGGTAGACGGCAGACGACAGTACAGAGTCGACGGAAGACGGCGGCGCATGGTGGACGACAACACAAAGTAGAGTCAACAACAGCTCTTGACGGCAGCGGTGGTACAGGCGGCAAAGAAGAATCAAGGTTAGCCTCTTTCAAATACTTTCGTGTTTTTTCTAAAGATTGTTGTGTCCCATTTCATCAATGATTCATAAGCTACCAAATCACTTATGGAGACCCCTGCATATTCCTTTTCTGAGAATTTCATTTTCCCTTTTTTTACCTAAAGCAAGTAACAAAATTGTATGTGTGTGTGTATATATATATATATATATATATATATACTGTCTTNCTTGTCCAACAAGTTGATTTACTCACTCAGCGAGTTATCCCTGGAAAGACACCCACTTAGCGAACAAATGGCTCGCTCAACAAGTCCAATAATGTAAAAAAGTGTATAATAATTCGTCTAGTGAGAGAAAATTTATCCAATGATCCATCCTCCTTTGACTCTATCAAATATGAAATTGACTTTCGCTCAACAAGAGTCTACTTGTCCAATTAGCAGACATACTCTAACTTTTTCAAACCCAAAATTGACATTCACTAAGCACTAAGGAGTTTGCATAACACAAACTTAAAAATGCATATATGGCAGTACTCATAACTCTAATTAAATGTTTTATTTCTTTATATCAAAAGAGAACCAATGTCCTTAAATTGATTCATTGAAATTACAAGTATCCTTTCAGAGTGCTAACCCCAAATTTCACAACTCAGAAAATGAATTTAACAAGCATCATGCATAATACATTTTCATTTGACATATACTAAGCTAACTCGAAATAAGATTAATCTATACATTTGAGATCACAACCACGATATGGAAACCATTCAATCTAAATCATAATTACCAAGTATCACCAAGTCAATCCAAATAAAACAAAAATGACAATAATTATATCTAGCTCCCTTTACCCTGTCTGATACTCCTAAAACTTTTTAAGACACTTCTCCATCATATTAATCTCACAAGTAACTCTATTTACACACATGAACATCAAATCAATGATATGATCATACCACCAAGACCAGAAATAGGCAGAGAATCATTTTGAGCATACTTGAGTCACATGCAACCTAATCATACTCACACGCAATTGATAAACACAAATTTGATTTTATAAAAGGTAGAAAAGAACTCACTCCATTTACGGTTATTGGATAAAGTTGTAGATTATCTCTTGTGAACTAAATGGTGATCTCTAATAGAAGAACAAATAAATGATGAATTATATTTCTTAGAGAGAAATCAGAAAAAGATTAAGAATTTTTTTTAGAGATAGTAAGGTTTTATAAAAATGAACTCGAAATAGAAAAATCTATTTATAGGTAGTTATTTTTTAATAAAATATTCGAGTATCATTTTATTAAACTCTATATAATTTAAATAATCATTTTCTATGAATTTATTTTTTTTAAAGATAAGAGCATCTATAGAGATGATTTTCTAACTAGTTATTTTTTTGAAAAAAAAAATTGAAGAATAAATCTTATACAATACGTCGAATTTCTTGGGCTTAAGAAAACTGTGTATAAGGAAAATTAAAAAAAGAAAACCTTGAATTTTCAAGTAAAGTTTTTAAATAAATATTTTTGAGATAGAATTAAAAAAATATATAAAAGCATCCTTTTTATCTAAAAAAAAAAGTGATACTATAGAAGAAAAATTAAATGTGTTTGACATGATAGAAATCACAAAAGTGTTGTGCAGACCATAAGAAACAATTTAAGAAACTCTTGTAAATAATGCTTTTTAAAATACCCTTTGAACTTTCTGTAACTTTCATTATATCTATCTTTACTAATGTTAATAACTCCATTTATTATTATTTTTTTACTTGAATCATGAAAGCTAATCATTTTTTATTTTTTAATGCAATTTTAACTTAATTATTTTTAATATAATTTTAAATGAGTTATCAATTATATCTCTTTCAATTTTCTTATTTCAAAGTATGTATATCTGGTATCAGTTTTTTCTATTCAATATTATAACTAATTTTTCTCTTTCCATTTTAATAAATTAAAAATGATGTTAACAAATTATATTATCTTAAAACTTTAAAATTAACAAATTACAACATGTCATAAAAATTTTTGTCTCGAAAGATGGTCGTGTGTTGTTTGCTTACATGTCATCCAATTATTAGTGGATTTTAGAGCTTTGGTTTGAAAATATCTAAGCTCGAATCACGAGATCCACCTCACTCATCATCCACTTTTGGTTCATGCAACCATTCTCTATTCTCCATTCTGTATAAATTCAACACTCTCCTACACTTTTCTTCAACCATTCACTGCACAACTCATTGTGCCATTCGTTGCCTTATTGCAGATAAGACCAACCATTCTTCCTTCAGGTCCTCTCTCTTCTCATTTTTGGTGTGTTTTTCATCTGTTGTATGTGTCCTGGTATTCTTTTACCTCTATGCACACACATATGTGTTTATTTTCCCTTTTGATATTTTTTGGATGATTGGTAGACGGCAGACGACAGTACAGAGTCGACGGAAGACGGCGGCGCATGGTGGACGACAACACAAAGTAGAGTCAACAACAGCTCTTGACGGCAGCGGTGGTACAGGCGGCGAAGAAGAATCAAGGTTAGCTTCTTTCAAATACTTTCGTGTTTTTTCTAAAGATTTTTGTGTCCCATTTCATCAATGATTCATAAGCTACCAAATCACTTATGGAGACCCCTGCAGATTCCTTTTCTGAGAATTTCATTTTCCCTTTTTTTACCTAAAGCAAGTAACAAAATTGTATGTATAGATATATAGATATATAGTCTCTCCCATCAAAGTGCTAATTGTTGATTATGTTTTGAGAATTTTCAAACAAATGGTGTCAGAAATTGTGGCTTTTAAATAAAAATTGTTAACTGGTTCCCATAAAGTTTTCTTGGATATTGATTTTGTTTGATTGCAGAAAATGCTATCCAATGTATTCGTAGACAAAGGTCAAGGGTTTAATTGTTTTTTTGTTGAAGGAAAGTATGTAAAAATTTGTCTGTATGCGTAACATTCTTCCTTTGCAACTTTGGTGCATGGATATTAGGAAACCAAGTGTCATACAAAATGGACCCACCATTATCTCAGTTGCCCCTTTAGGATTTTGGTGAAAAAAAAATTTCTTCTCAGCTCCCTTCTTTGACTGGCAGGAATTCAATGTGGCGGATCATAAAATGTACAAATATAATCTCTTAAATGTTCTTATTAATCCTTGTCAGTAAAATGTGTTTGATATGTTATGAGTGTGAAGTGATGAGCACTTTTGATATCTTAGGACGGTAATATCTTAGATGATATCCAAATATCATTTTCAGATGGCAGAAAACCAGATTGTGTAATGATATTTACATAACTTTATGAGGGGGTGAGTAGTGGTTAACCTTGAAATTGGCTAGAGAATATAGGTTAAAATGAAAAGTTGATGTGTCATTTTCATTAGGAAAGAGTTATATGACACTACATTATAACCATTTGAGTGAACACTGCATTATAACTTATAATTTATAAGATTGACCGGTCTCTTTATTCCATGATATGCATCATATGGATATAGTATTTTCCTTTTTAAGAAGATAACTTTCACAAGAAAACAAATTTAAGCTTCAAGAAGAAGTATTCTTTTTATTCAATGTAATTTTTATCATTTCTCAATTTCAGATTCAATAAATTTAGTAATTTTTTCCTTCATGTTATTATATTGTTAATTTGCTGTTGTTCTCCTTTGGTTGGTTTCGTTTTTTAAATATTGTGTTTGTTGATTACCTATAAGTTTTAAACGCGGACAACCAATACACTGCTTGTTCTGTTAACAGGTATTGCACTTTTGATTGATACTCCACGGGATAAAAACATAACGGGTAAATGTTACTAATGATCCATTTTGTTTTATCTGCCTTTTGTTTTATTTTTTGTTTTTTTGTTTTATTGAACTCCTGCAGCCTGCATTCTGAGTATTGAATGGGTGGGATATTCTTTTTTTCTTATTAAGATAACATTCTTTTTTTGTTTGAATTTTCATATTAGGTATTATGCTTTATGTTGTTGTCTTTTCATATATGGATAAATAATTTTAATATCATGATTTTAATATGTTGTTGTCTTTTCATATTACGCTTTATGTTGTTAGCTATAATGATTTTAATAGTGATTTTGTGACCTTTAAACTTGTTTGGTTCATATTTAATAACAGGATTTGGATCTATTTTGGGCATCTTTTGTCTTCCTCTTTTTCTGCCTTAAATTTGCCTCTTAAATATGGACCACTTTAAGAGTAACCCTTTAACTTTGATTGATGATCTTGCATCTGAAACTCCTGGTCCATCTGAAAGTTTAAAGTGAGAATGGTTTGGGAGGGTTTTGGTTCCTCCTGAAATTCTCTTGCTGTAATGATTTATTTATGCAAATATTTATATTTTATGATGCCCTCATAAAAATATCCAAAGAAGTTGAAAATGCAAAAGAATAAAATTGAAAGTTGGTATAGAGGAAGAGATTAAATGCTCTAAGATATCCCCGCATTTGGTGTAGGATTCAACATCTATGGATAATGCAAATATTTATATTTTATGACTGCTGGAAGTTCATTTTAAGCTAATCTTGATTTAATATTGCATTACTCTGAAGCTGGAGAGGGCTTTTAAAGGAGAGTTTGAAGAAGCCTCAAAAACTTCAAACAATAAGTTTTGTTGCTTGTTGGTTTACCATTTACTTGCATGGATGTGAATATTATGTGGTGTTACAGCGCACATACTTCTTAATGGGACTTTATTGATTGAGTTTCTATTAGTTGTTTTCGCTAAACTACAATTCATCTGTTAATTTTTAATATTGCTCTGTTCTAACACAAAGTATGTTTCAAAATATACCAACACATTCTCGCATGGGTAGAAGAGCAAACTTATTGGATAGCTTTTCGGTTTCTCAATTTAGGATTTAAACTGGAACTCTACTCTGTTCATGATTATTGCATGGTATACTGGTATACTTATGTTGTGTTGATAAAGCTTGCGGAGAAGAAACATCTTCGGATGTCAATGAGCAATGACTCTGGTGTTGTCTTGTACTGAATCTGACAAATGGAACATTGTTTATTTTTATCTTAGTAGTAATTGATGGATGAAACATGGTGATGTTTTTCTCTTGGTATTAACTGGTTGCTCCCTGATATCCATGTACCAAGAAAGAATGCATGATTGATTTGACTAGATTTTTTATTCTTTGGTGCCTGCATAATGCCTTGTGTGAGTGATCTGTTTGGTATAGTTTAATATGATGATTTTATATTTCTGTACATAAATTTTTGTAAAAAAAAGGCTCATGGGCTGGCCCTGACCCATAGGCTTTGGGGGCTTTTAGCCCTGTGGGCTTTTTCAATAAAAGATTATTTTTGGTCCTGGGGGCTTTTTTGGCCCCAACCCACATGGGTTAGGGCCAAATCTTATTAAAGGGGCTGACTTGACAGTTCTATACGCAGCCACTTAAGCAGCGTCGTCTTTCTATCTCCATCCATCACAGCTCTCTCTTTCTCTCAGGTGTGTGTTCTTTTAGTTCAATGAGGAAGTAAAGTGAAGATTATGAAAATGAACTTTGCATGCCATGTGTATAATTTCTGCACACTTTTTTTTTCTTTCAATTATTGTGTGTTTAACATGTTATTGAAATTGTTGCAGCTTTATATGGGTTGTTGCATTTTTTCTTCTTCTGAATTTTAGTTTAAAACTGTGCTTTTTGTGTTTTTTTCCTTTTCCTCTTGATTAAGCACCGATGATGTTCGATTTTTTTTTTTTAAGAAAAGGAAAGCCATTCTTCTCGATCTTGTCAGTATCGATTTCTCCCAGGTAAACTGTTAACATGTTTCGAAGGTAGATTGCATTTTTTTTTGTTTTCTAAGATCTATTAAGTTTTGGCCAAAACCATGTTTTTGGAAGGCATTCCACAAAGATGCTTAGAAGTCTTATAATTATTTTGGTCGGATTATGGTTTGGCTCCTTTTTTAAGAATTTGTGTTGAGGTTGTCGGATTGATCTATGTCTGTGTGACCTGCTATGCTACTGTACCCAGTTTTCTTTTTCTTCTAGTCATTGCGCATTATTCATTATTATGATTGTGATTAAGTTGTACGAATTGGTCAATCTATGAGTAATATTCTAAGGACAAATATATTTTTATTCAATTTTAATTATTTAATGGGTAAAATATACTGCACTTTTAAAATATTTAATGGGTAAACCTAATTTTTAGTTCCCTCCTCCAACTATCGTGTATCAACCACCGCTGACCTCCGCTCCAAGGCGGCATTCGTCTCTAAAGGGATCTCAAGAGTCTGCCCACTTCATTCACTCGCCCCCCCCTCTCCGCCAATTCCACCAATTCTCCCGAATTCAGGTTTTTAACAATTTTTTCAATTTAAGATTTTTATCTTGCACGTGTACCGTAAGCTATGTGATTTCTCGTTGATCTTACTTTTGGTTGATGTGTTTATAGTCTTTTTAATGCTTGTATATGCTGTTATCTGGGGTAGTTTGGCTAACCCCTGAATATTGTGGTCCTGAGGTTGGACCTTGGAATGCCATTTTGGTCTTCAAATGCTTTGTAAATATTATGATGGTTGGTTTCAGTGTGCAAGAAAATTCAGGTCCCGTAAGTTTTGTGTTCTCTATTTTTAGTGTTTAAGATGTGGCTTTGTAGTGCTCCTCGAAACTCAGGTCCCTTGCGCTTGGATTTATTTGATAATTCAAAATTTTGGGCCTCTTTGGTTGGCTATATTTTTTATTATAAGGCCAGAGACCTATTATTTGTGTTTTTGTCTTGTGAACCTGATTTTTTTATTAGAGTGTATCCGTTAGAACTTTTAACAGTTGAGTTAATTTTTTTAATTGCCTGTGTATCGAAAGAGACTTTGTTCGACAAATCAGTGGAAGAAATAGCCAATGATGACAACCATTTGAGATATCTGAGTCAGGATTGGTTTCCTTATTTCAATTTAATGACTTTCTGCTTTTTGGTAACTCAAACGGCAGGTTGGGAAAATCATTTTAAATGATTTTAGACTATATTGTTCCGCATGGAGGGAAGCATGCTTCTGAGATGTATTCAAATACTAAGAATTTGAATTGAGAAGGGATACACTTTATTAATAAGATCATTTTGTTCCCATCAGCAATAATATGGATAATCAGAAAGTATATAAACTTAGACTGTAACATAGTGGTACACCGCTATCTTGGCTTGACAATTAGGCTTGATACAGAAATAGTTTATAACACAGTATTTAAGAGTTTCCGATTTGTACTTGTAGTTACAAAGTTTCAAAAGAGGAAATCTTGTTTTACAGGTATGGTGGGTTTATCTCTCGGAGAAAAACATTTCATACAAGGTGGCATTGCTCATGATCTTCGATGTGATGGTAGAAAGAGATTGACATATCGACCAATCTTGGTTGAAACTGGAGTGATTCCCCAGGTAATACTTTAATCATTTGGCATTTGGCTGGCAGACCATTGAAAATTTTCTTTTTAAATAGTTCTAATCTCTTCTTTGATAAACTAACTGCTTGGCAGGCAAATGGTTCAGCTCGAGTCAGAATGGGTGCCACAGATGTCATTGCCAGTATTAAGGTTGGTTAAAAGTTAAAATGTTTGTCTCTTATGTTTTAAATTGCAATATCCTTTTGTTTAATATTAATACTATGAACAATTTTTGTAAATTGAACGTGTTATTTTACTAACCATGATATATTGGCTACACAATGCAGGCTGAACTTGGAAAGCCAAGCTTGTTGCAACCTGACAAAGGAAAAGTCTCTATATATATTGATTGCAGTTCGACTGCAGAGCCAGCCTTTGAGGTTGCGTATTCTATTATTTTTCTTGCTTCTTTTTTCATGTCATTCAACTTTAAGTACCATGATCATTGAAATTGATAGCATACCAAATAAATTAATCCTTAAAAGCTTTAATTATAGTTAAATGGTGCATTGGATTAATAACCTTTACATTTTCATCCATTTTAATGTTTTCTATTATCGTTGTGTTATTTGTCATTTTTGTTCAATATATGGCTTCTAATGTTTCAAAATTACTATTCTATTTGGTACTCTTTCTCTGGCTTGTATATAGGGTAGAGGGGGTGATGAATTGGCAGCAGAGCTGTCAAATGCTCTTCAAGACTGTCTCTTGGGTGGTAAAAGTGGAGCAGGTCTATTTCCTTCTTGGGTGAAGATTATGATCACTACCATATCATTTTCCTTCCTTGTTGTTGCCTCTTTTTAATATGTATGTTGGGCTCGTGGTTTTTTTCCTCAGGTGCTGGAGTTGACCTTTCATCACTTATTGTGGTTGAAGGAAAAATTTGTTGGGATCTTTACATTGATGGGCTTGTTGTTAGTTCAGATGGAAATTTGTTGGATGCTCTAGGCGCTGCCATTAAGGTACAACCTAAAATGAAAAATAGAATGATATACCATAAAAGCTGGAAAAGATTATGGGGGTGGATTTGTGGTTATAATAATTAGCATTGCAGAGGTCATCCTTTTCTGATGTTGTCAATTTTAAATGTTTACTTTTCAAGTTTTCTTGTTCATTTACCATAGTTTGGCCATTGATACTGTGTGGGCTGTTTGAAAAGACTTATATAAGGAAACGGTTAAAAGTTAGATACCTAAAACTTGTAGTCTCTTATCTAGTTGTTTCATATAGCTAAAGTTAAAACTATCCTTTTACTAGCTGTATTCTGTAATCTTTATAATCTCACAGACCAAATTGCTGTCAGTTTCATGAGATTTTTCTCATGGATTTCCTTAATACCATATGCAAACATATTTTCAAAATTAACTGGAAAAACCCCAATGCAGCTAATAACTATTGTTCTTTTAGGCTGCTTTGTGCAATACAGGTATTCCAAGAGTCCAAGTTGCTGCTGGAGCATCCAACGATGAGCAACCAGAAGTTGATGTAAGCGACGAGGAGTTTCTGCAGTTTGACACATCTGGAGTCCCTGTTATAGTTACACTAACTAAGGTATAGCATGTGTTATCTTCTCTTTTTGACCATAATTGTGATAGTTTCTTACCATCTCTCCTTTCTAGATTGGGAGGCACTATATTGTGGATGCAACGTCAGAAGAGGAATCACAAATGAACTCTGCCGTTTCCATCTCTGTTAATAGGCAAGGGCACATCTGTGGCATAACCAAACGAGGAGGTGTAGGGCTGGATCCAAGCATCATTCTTGATATGATATCTGTTGCCAAGCATGTAAGCGAGCAATTAATGAACAAATTGGATTCAGAAATTGCTTCTGCTGAAGCTGAAGACGAGTCATGACACAGGAGAGCATGGTGATAACTAGGTGTACCCTATCATTCAATTATTTAGGACAACATGTTGTAACTTGGTAACTGAGTCGGGATTTAATCTATTAAGTGTATGATGGAAATTGGTTTGCCTGCCTAGCTATGGCTTTGAGATGACTGTTTAATGCCATACAAACTTTCAACTTGCACAACAATTGCATGGTAGCATTAAAGATTGACACGGCTTGCAATGTTGGATTAGGTTTGTAATAGTAAGGTGAAGCATTCATGCTTTGCAATAGGCAACAAAGGAAATTTACTAGAAAGAACATTAACAATACAAATCTTTAACTACTTAGCGAACTTGGTAAACAATGATTGTTCCTAACCTAGGTTTCATTTCAATACTGCCCAAATATATTAATAAAATAATTTTCTTTTAAAAAGTAAATTATAAATCTTCAAAGGTGATTAAGAATAATCATATATAAAGAAAAAGCAGCAAATAGATAAAATTTTCCAAACACGAGATTCATAAATTCCGTGAAGCAGTTAACCTAACGCGTTGAAAAGTAGTTGAAGAATGAAATTTTATGTTTGTGTCCTTCTGTCGTTCTCATACTGAAGTCATGAATAATTAATTTCTTACATTTAATTAGTCAACCTAGAATTTTAGACGGAGTTTCGTTCTGGATGACGATTCAGAGATTTGAAGGGTCAAGAAAGCTCATCATTTCAGCGTTCTCATCAAGTAACGCGGATGCTTTTCATTCAAAGGTAACATTTTTTATGATACCTATGATTTTCAATTCACATACAAGAGTTACCTTTTCGCAGATTATAAATGGCTTCTCTAATCGTTGAAGCTCAACGTTTTTTGTTAGCAACTACGTTTTGCTGCTAATCTGTTCCAGTTTTAGGTTACAATAAGAAGAGATGGAAGCTGAAAGGGTTGAATTGCTTAGTGTTGTTGAGGATCATTATGGAGGAGTTGTCGTAAGCTTGGAGAATCAGGAGCCTGTGGATTCTGAGCTCTTCTCTTCCATATTGGAAGCTTCAATGAACAATTGGAAGCAACAGGTAAATTGATTCATAACATTTTCAATCCAATAGAAGCAGTACACATTTTTTGTTACCTTCAGTGATTATTTCCAATGCGTTTTTTGCAGAGAAAGAAAGGGGTCTGGCTCAAATTGCCCATACTGCATTCAAATCTTGTTCATACTGCTGTCAAGGTAAAAAAAAAAAATTGTTTTGTATTCTTTCTTTATTTTGAAAGCCTAATTCTTAATTAAGAAGCCACTTTCCTTTTTAGGCTGGATTTAAGTATCACCATGCTGAGCCAGAGTATTTGATGCTTGTGCGATGGATTCCAGAAACTCCTGATACCTTTCCTGCAAATGCTTCACATCGCGTGGGTGTTGCCGTTTTTGTCGTTAACGACAAGAAAGAGGTAATTTTTTTTTTCAATTTATTTTAGTTGAAGTGTAAGCTTTCCTCCTAGTGAGATTATTTTTAGGAAAGACTTAAATTTTAATTCTCTAATATGTTGGGTATTTTTAATCGAGTCCAGATTAAATATTCTTGCTCCCTTTCATATATACATTTTTTAATTAAGTATATACGGTTTAATTTTGTTATTAGGTGGGGTTTATTGATTTGATATTTTGTATCGTTAAAAGAAATATTAAGTTTCTCATAAATTTAAGTATGTATTTTTAATTTAATCTTTATTAAAAATTTACATTCTATAGAAGGTTTATAATTTCTATATTTTTTACTTTAGTCCTTTACTCTCAAATAGGATAAGATGGAATGATAGGGTCTTTTGATGTTGTACTCTCAATAAAAACATCACGAACTTGCACAATAAAAAAATTAGTTCAATAATCAAAATTATCTTTACCAATTTGTGATTAGATGTCATTATGTAGTGTCTCCATATTATTAATTTGATTTTTATTTTAATATTTAATTTATAATATGAAAACATGTCATTTGTTAAAGTGATTAATGTTCAAGATTTTTTTTTATTGTCAAAAATTGTGCTTAAGATTAAAACCCATATGATTACATTATCCCAATTGACAGCAGAAACTTATTAGAAAAGTATGAAGATTTTAGAACATTTTTTCATAGAAATTCAATTAAAAATACTCATATTTGCAATAAATTTAAAATTTATTTAAATTATTTTTTATTTTTCATATAAAGACATGTAAGCATAGACATGCAAATTACTAGATAGATCATTCACTTAACAACAAAATAAAATAACATATATTCAATTAAAAAAAAAAAATTAGATATATGATAATACAATTTTATAAATAAAAATTTGATTGCAAATATCAAAATGTAAGAGAGACTTCAATATTAGTTAATCTTTCAATAAAAAAAAATGAGTTATTTTTGTCAATATATTACAAAAATTCCAAACGTAAGAATACTTCTTAGACTTGTCATTTTCTTATGATTTCCGGGAAATTATTTTCTTCTCCTAAGTATTAGGACAACTTTTTCTTTCTGTTTTTCTTAAGTTATAAAAATTGTTGTGAAAGAATCGCTCGTGGGAATAACATTATCCTTTCATCTGTGTGGGGACAAACTTTTTATTTGACTACTTCTGACCTTTGAGCTATGGTCAGAACAGAACCATATTTCGTTGGGGCAATTATTTTTCTTTGTTCAATCAACCTTTTCCCTTTCATTGTCACCTGTTGTCTGTTTCACCCTTCGACCTTCTTTATGCGTTTATCCTACTGCTTTGTGCACTAATTAAACATGTCTTGTTACAGTTACCATTCGAGTTTCATAATACTAATGTTACAGGAGAAATTATCTTGTTTTTGTTTGACAGATGCTTGTGGTTCAGGAAAAAAGTGGCGTATTCGGAGGCACTGCTCTATGGAAGATGCCTACAGGAGTTGTTAATGAAGTATATTAAAATTATTATAGACGAAATTATTATCTTCAAAATTATCTTTTCGTGTGTTTTGAACTTTGAATTCAATTTGCAGGGTGAGGATCTTTGTGATGGTGCAATTAGAGAAGTGAAAGAAGAGACTGGGGTAAGCAGGCAAACACATAATATATATTTTAGAGTAAATTAAATTCCACTTGAGATTTTGTAAAAATAATAGCATTCATGTGTATTTAATATTTATAAATTGTCACGCTTTACTAATATATATCATATGCCATAAGATCCTCCCATAGCTGATTAATTTGTTTCTTTTATCATGTCTTCCTGCTGATAATGTTTTGGGTTTTCTTAATTTTTTCAGAACTTAATTTAGTAGAGTGTAATTCCTCTATATTATCTATTTCATAATTTTTGGAGTGTTTCCAAGTCTAATGCCATTGCTTTTATTCTTATTTTCAGATAGAGACAAAGTTTGTTGAACTTTTAGCTTTCAGGTAAAACTGCGACACTATCTTCATCAACTATTATGTGGTGCCATGGAAGATGAATGTTATGCATAGTGTTATTTTGATAATAGCACATTCATTAATCATAAACGTTCCTGATCTCTTTGGTATCAGGCAAAGCCATAAGTCATTCTTCGGGAAATCAGATTTGATGTTTGTGTGCATGTTGGAACCTCTATCCTCTGACATTCAGATTCAGGCCTCAGAAATTGAGGCAGCGCAGGTATCAATTGAGAAGCTCACTGATTTTCAGATAAATTGTCATTCTAAGGATGCTATGCTACATTTTCATTTCAGTTGATAGCCTTTCATGTTTACTAAAAGAAATACCATATTATTTCACCTTTCACTCTGTTAATTTCCTGATAATTGTGAAACAGGATGTGCAAATGCTGTTTTTACCATTTCATTTGCAACTCCTTATAACTAGCAAAACGTGTTGCCATTTGTGGTTATTAATAAAAATGTATGAACTGAAATTTCAACAGAAAATGTGTACAAAGAAGTTTCTAGCAGGCAACTTAATTTGAGCCTTTATTCTAAACTTCTCCTATTCAACGAAGACTGCAAGCTGATAATCTATCTTGACATTGTTACCAGAAAATATTGTTATTTCAGTAGTTTTCTTTTAACTAATGTGGGTCGTTTTTTCATTCAGTGGATGCCAGTTGAAGATTATGCTGCACAGCCTTTTGTGCAAGAACATGAACAATTTGACTTTGTTGCAAAAATATGTTCTTCAAAGTTGGATGGCAACTACACCGGTTTTTCTAACGTGCCTACTTGTACTTCATCTGGCAAAAAAACCTATCTGTATCTTAGCAACAGTGATGCCAGCCTTTTGTTAGCTTCCAAACAAGACTAAGCTTGACATTTCCTTGCAAGTTTCCTCTACATATACTTGTAAACTATATGAAGAACATTTATGGATAGTAGACACCTAGATAGATAGAGACAAAAACGAGATAAATACAAGCTAGTATGTTATAAGTTGAAAATATTCATGCAGCATTATTTTTGAAATCTGAGACCATAGTCTTGGACAGTAACTTTTATGTTCTGTTTGAAGGTGCTAGAGAGTGAAAAAAAGAAAAAAAAAACCGATTGCTTAGATAAATTGAACTCTCATTTTTTTACTGTCACATGGTAAAAGTTGAAATAAGTGGGGCCTGCGAGACTTTCTATTGAATCTGCTGCAACAATAGACACAACACATCGATATGCAGAGTGTTAAGGTAGAAAGAAAGTAAGTGTGCACAGGTAGAAAAAGATGCTAAAAAGAACAGACACTTTTTGTTTGAACTAGGAAGTAGGCACTGTTGTTTTTTATGGTTAAGATTTGAAGTAGTCACTGTTGTGATTATAGAGAATCCGTGTCTGTTGGTAGTTGTACAGCATACGGATCCCCTGCGATTGTATAATTAATAACTGCAATAATAGTATATTTTCAATTATGTTTTTGTATCAATCTTTTAAGTAAAAGATATATTAATGACTGAGAGTGATGCAGAGGAAAAATGTATATATATGCAAAATGTTCCCTTTCCTGGAAAAGTACTAAGTGAAGCAGCTAGAAATGTCTCGAATGCAGAACTGATTAGAAATGGAACCAATGGATACTGAGAAGGAAACGTGGCACTAACCATTGTTGTTATAAGGTTCACCAAAAATTGCAAGCAAAAATATCTTATCTGATATTTGTGCACTGTTTTCTGAAGTTGATTTCTTTATATTATCGAAAAATATTATTTGAGATACATAATTTTTTTACATTCATTTGATATTATTTTTTTTTATTTTTTAATTT